TCTTGGGAAAAATTGGGGTTTTATCGATTTGGACTCCCTTTTTAATGAAAAAGGTATATTTACGATCCTTATGTTATGGGTAAACTGATTTTAACATAAAATTATTGATTCATCGATTATTTTCATCATATTAACCGCGTACAATTTGGACTTTCCCGGTAAAGTTAAAGTTTGATAAATTGAGAATTTCAAGGTCGATCTTAACTCCGTTTTTGATGAAATTTCATATTTGAACTTATCTAAGCATGGGTAAGATGTTTTTCAAGAGATATTTCATTTTCGAGTCGGGGTTTCGGATCCGAATATTTTAGGCTTCTTCAAGAACGTGGATTTTCCTTCAAATTGAGTTTGTGAATTGATTTCAACTCCGTTTTCAAATTGGTTTTCACCATTAGCTTCCAAATACTTTAAGGATCATTTTACATAAAAAAATTTCTAGATTTGGGTATCGTTTTCCGATATGAGACTTTTGGACCGTTTTGCCCTTTTTCCCTAAATTTCTTGATTTTGGTGTCATTGGACTCGAATTGTGATTGTGAATAATTGTTTGAATAGATTATCGTGATCCGGATTATACTCGGAAAGGAAAGGCTCAAGTTAAGTAACTTTTGGAGTTCGTTTTAAGGCAAGTGGCTTCCAAACTTTGTAAAACTCTTAGACTACGCATGACTACTTTCCTAATTTTGTTGGGGAGTAATGGGGATTGAGGATGGGTTTTATTTGCTGATTGAAATTGTTGTAAATGAAAGATGGGGAATAAAACGAGCTAAATGTGTTATATGTGACTTGAATTTGTTGAATAAGTCATGTGATAACTGATATTGAGGGGATAGAAGAGCATGAGCAGGCTATGATTGATACGGACATTGATGTTGAGGTAGATGATGTGTAATACTATGATGTGGTCGTGATATGGTTGTGATTGAGACATGTGATGTGTAATACTATGATGTGGTCGTGATATGGTTGTGATTGAGACAGGTGATGTGTAATACTATAATGTGGTCGTGATATGGTTGTGACTGAGACAGGTGATGTGTAATACTATGATGTGGTCGTGATATGGTTGTGATTGAGACAGATGATGTGTAATACTATGATGTGATCGTGATATGATTGTGATTGATGACATGTGCATATTCATTATTCATCCCATGTGTGAACTATCTGTTGCATGAGTTCTGAGACACTGATATGAGGATGGATGGATATGAGACACAGTTGAGACTAGCTCCGGCTAGCGATTTAGATGCCGATGGGATCTGGTTTCGCCGGTGATACATGGTTCATGTGTGGCCCCCATGGGTTCTGATTTGAGTATTCAGCGCGGACTGATTACGTCAACAGATGTGTATCGTAGGACAGACATGCATCACGACTACATGACATCATTATTGCATTTTGCATCGCATTTGCCTTATCTTTGTCTGTGATGTTGGGATTGTATCGGTTTACCCTTCTTATGTGGAATTTGATCTACTTGCTCTTATTTGTTGATCTGAGGTTGATGAGGATATACTGTTGGTTCTGGCTGTTGAATATGATATGTTTAGTATAGATTGGTTGGTTTGCTGCTAGATTGAAGTTTCGGTGGTTCGGTTGGGATTGAAAGGAGTTGTTTGTAGCTGCTAGTTTTGCTTAGTTTAGAGTTACTTGCGAGTACCTGTGGTTTTCGGTACTCACCCTTGCTTCTACACAATTGTGTAGGTTGACAGCTCTCTCAGATTCAGCTTAGTATTTTCTTTAGCAGATTGAGCTTCTGGACATACTCGAGAGGTAGCGGTTCATTCCAGACGTGCCCTTGAGTTATCTTTACTTTCAGTTTTGTTCTATTCGAGAACTATACTCTGAGACTTGTATATTTTTATTCGAATTCTGTATTTAGAGGTTTGTACATGTGACAACCAAATTCTGGGTAGTGTTGAGTCTTAATTAAAGGCTTCCGCTTATTTATTATCTTTTATTCTCGTATTTCTACTTCTCTATCGTTGTGGTTGGGTTAGGCTGACGTGTCCGGTGGAAAATGGACACGTGCCATCACATCCGGATTTGGGTTGTGACATATAGACGGTAAAGTAGGTTATTTTAATTAATACACTATAAAAAAATAATTAGCTATAAAATACATCTTAATCTATTGTTAAATAGTATGTAGCTAAATAATTTTTTTATAATCCACATGTTAAATAAGATTAGCGATTACTTTTATTATTAAGCGACTTAAATCATCCATTGCTATTTTTTAAAATTTTAATATAGTGGTTATTTTGTAAAATTATTGTTACACTGAGCAAAATTCAGATGGTATCCATGAAATTAAATAGTCACATATTGTTTCGATGAATATGACATGTATCTCTTTTTTACGTTTTATTGTTGTAGATGAAAGCTATCCGTTGTTAGTTCTTTTTTGTTATAGTTATATGATAAACATTTGTTTTGTAACAATATTTTTGTCATAATAAATAAAATTTAGTAAATATATGTGAAATTAACTATTTGCATAATGTATAATAATATTATTCAATTTTAATTGTTAGCTTCTTGATATAATTATGCAGTTGTTGTCTATGATGAACACGATGAATTCTTAGTGAAGAAAACTTTGGACAACGGAGCTTACATTTGCTCGAAGAAGCCACTTGTCGAGCAAACTGTGACATTCTTGTGGCAAACACAAAGAGATCATATCAGTGTTGGAGATGAAGAATGAGATCGAGAGAAGAATATGCTTATTAATACTGAGGAACAAAGCAATAATAACAATGTTGTATCAAATGGAAAACATAAGTTGAGGAGGAAGAGAGGCCGAAAAAGCACAAAAGAGATTAATGAAGGAAATAAGACTATTATGCGTAAGATCTGCTTAAAATGGACTGATGATCTTCGTGTCAAATTCACAGAAGTTGTGGAACAACTTGGTGACGGAAGTAAGTTGACTCACTAGTATATATATATATAAAGTAAGAATTTACACTTATAGCTAACGTCAATCTGTTTGGAATTAAGGAGTAGTAATTATTGTATTTATATATATCTCAGTTTGATAAAGGAATACTGAAATATTGATTAAATTAATTTTACATTCTAATAAAACATGTAGGATGTTTTCCGTCAGCCATCCGTGAAGTGATGAATATGCCAGGTCTTACCATTAAGCAAATTTCAAGTCGTCTTCAGGTACATTATCCTTACAAAAATTTAAGTTGTAAATTATGTATGATTTTAATTTTAATTTTTATCAAAATCATTTATCAGATAAAATAATGATTTTACATCACTTCCACCAATAAATGTTTGGAAATTATTCTCGTCTTTATTCTAATTTTTTTAATCAAAACTTCTATTGCATGCTTAGATATTGAAGTTATTTCTTGCTAATTTTTATTTTATTGTAATAACTATTCAATGAAATAATATTATTGTCAATCTTTAATTCAAAAGTTTTTAATCGTTCATCCATTACAAACAAAAACGTTTTTTTTTATTAGAAATGACTTTGTGTCATGCGTTTCATGTCACACCTTAAAAACGATGAGTTGAGATGATAATTATATATATCCATGGTCCAACTCTCCTTTGATTTTTTTTCTTCTTTCAAAAATGTCGTAGCAAAGATGAGAAACTTCAAGAAGAGAGAGAATATATTTGTCACGAATCCTCAAGTGGTTCTCAACAAAGAAGTAGCTATGACACATCATTAGAAAGAACAAAAAGAAGGAACTGTGAAAAATATGGGGAAATGCCTCGTCTTCAAACAAATGTTCCAAATCAAACCCAAAGAGTCCCAGATTTTCCACCAGTTTATACCAATAACATTTTTGGTAGTTCAACTCAGCAGCAGCCCCATCACCCACAACTTCAGGTTCAACCCAATTATCTCAACACATTTTTGTCAGCCCAAAATGATGTTGGTAGTGGACAACAACAACACGGCCTGTTATTTGGAACAATGGGTCTAGTAAGTACATTTATTGGGAGCACTAATTATAGGTCTTTGTTGGAGTTTAATAGTGGAAATCATCATGATTACGGTTTTTATCATCATACTCAAAATGGTTATAGCTTAGATCTCAATGCTGCCCATGTAACAACATATGCAGGTAGCGCAATGATAACTAATACAGATGTTGGAAATGTGACACTTAATGGATTGGGAGCAACAAATGCTAATTTTCAGCAAGATATTGGTGAACAAAACATGTTTGATCCAAGCAACATCGTCGCGGCATCAGATGCAAATGCTATTGAAGGAAGTGATCCAAATGAGTGGCAATATTGGGATGCATTTGTCAATTACAATCCTAAGGATGATATCAGCTTCCAAAATTCTACATCTCCAAGTGCTACCCTACCTAATGAACATGGCAGTAAGTTTTTGCTTCTATCTCACTTCCCTTACTAGTTCGATAGAGTTGACTTCTGAGACGGTCACTTAATTATCTCATAAAGTCACTTTCTACATATGCAGTTGGTAGAGACACCGAGGGTCCAGATTTCAACAATAGCAAATTTCCTGATGAATAATCAACATGGTCGATAATCCAGTTCTATCGATCAGTTATAAAGTTGTTTTCTCAAGTTGAAATTGCTATCTTTAGTTTTAATTTTGTAGAGACTATTTTGTTTCGTATGACTTAGATTGCTTGAAAGTGAAACGAATGTTTTAAGAGAATGTATTTGAAATACTCATTTGAAATTGAACTTGACAATGTTTTAGCTCTCATAATTTCTGCCTTGCTGCAATCTTGTCTAACTTAGCTTTCCGCTTATCTTCTTTGTCTTCCGCTTCTCCATTAATAGAGGTGTTACAAGGTGTGTAAGATTAATCCTTGTGAGTATCGCAGTCTGTATTCACTAGTTGTTTGAAGTTATTGGAGTTTTGAGAAAACTACAGGTCATGGTTTTTTCCTCCCTTAAGCAAAGAGGTTTCCATGTTAACAGATGTGTTCTTACTTTAAGCATTTACATTACTTCTTGTTATCAGTATAGTCAAGTGGTTAGAACAATAGAAGACATGTCACTAAACAACAACATAGGAAAAAACAGACTCTGCTAAGTGATCGATCCGCGTGTGATAGTTGATGAGTTGAACTTGGATATGTATACAAATTAGTAGTTGATGAGTTCCCAAACATTCGTGCATAAACAATTTCCCCTATTGACATGCCACCGGGGCTTAGCATAGGTTCGGTCATATAAGGTTGATATATTGGAGACTGTAGTGAATGATTTCGATGGTGAAGTTGTTGTGATGGAATTGAATCAGTAGTTCCTATTAGTCCGTGACTCCTACATCTCGGACTAGGAGGTCTTTGTGGTATGACTATACCAAAATTCAAGGCCTTATTTTCAGATGTTTTTGTAGCTTGACTGCGAGCATAGAGTGGAATCAATGTTTTTTGTGAGACTTCAGCTTTGCAAACAGGGCAATTTGGCTGTTGGTTATCGATGTTCTCTGATGAAATGGTCTTAAAATGTATCCATTTGTAGATGCAAGGCCAACAATAGAGGTGACCACATAATGTAACAACAGGATCATGTACAACATCCAGGCAAATGTTGCACTCGAAACCTCCTGGTGAATTTTCTTCAAGTTTATCAAGATCAATTGTCTTACATTTTTTGAAGGAAATATTGCGTTGATCAAAGGTAGTTTCTGCTATTTGGTCTTGGAAAAGCTGTTCTAAGGCCATATTTTACCTCCTGATTTGATTCTCTGTTTGCTAATATGCCTGTTAAACATATGACAAGACGAACAAGGTCAGATTGATTTCAGGATAAGACAGATGAATCGCTGCATAAATAATAGAGTTTTCCTATGTGTGTACCCACTCAACAACCATCCAACGAAAACCATAAGCTTCTGATGAGTCGGAGATTTTAGACTCATTTGAGGTTAATAGTTCACCAAATAGTATCCTCGATGCAATTTTATGTTCATTTATAATAGATAAATTGTTAAATTGCACCTATGAAGGCTTAAGGACAATAGAGAGCGAAAAGAAGCCAAAAAAAACTTGGAAAAGTACAGGAAATGGTGAAGGAGTCAAAAAATGATTTATCAAAATAGGATGTTGTTAACAAGTTTTAGTTAAAACAAAGAAAACAACATGTAAGGTTAGCTAGCTAGGTAGCTATAAATTAAAAAAAGTAGTTCAACTCATCTATTTCTAGCTCTATTGCTCAGACTCTCTGTCAACAGGTACGTATCAGATCCTCCAAAAGTAATGCATTTTTTGGAGAAACAAACACAAAACAACATAGATCTTTATATAACACAAAGATTTGATTATTTTTTTCCAAGAAAATTGAAGGTTGCTTTCAAGTATGTTCAAACAGAGTAAACAGAAAAGAAACAGATATAAAGATTTAAAATATCAAGAAAATAAATACCCAAATAATAATTTGTAAAAGAGGTGAAATTGGAAGCTTGAAAGATGAAATAAAATGTTTGAGGTGAGCTCTATATATAGTGGTTTTTGAAGACACGCCTATACATACAAGTTTTCTATATGTATAGGAAATTTATCGTGTACAAATTAAAATATAATACTAATAAAGTTATTACAAGTAAAGGGAAAGCAATGAACTCTTTCGTATTGTTCTTGTGGTTATTTGTTCTTTGATTTATGTTATCATTGGTCCATATTTTATATTTATCTCTTAAAATATCTTAATATATGTAAATTATTAATTTAACTAGAATTCAAAAATAACTTTTAAGAAATTAAAATCATAAATTTATAAACTTCAATTTTTTTCTATAAAATTGGATATTGTTGAATATTGAGCATCTCTAGAACTTATTCTCAAAAATTTATTCAAAGTTTATGATATGACGTGGTAGTAGTTGAAAACACTCAATTTTCCAAGATTTTGTGTGGAAAAAAAAAATGTTTTCTTTTGTGGAATATATATAAGGAAAAAAGATGAAATATATTTTGGATTCGTGTTTCATCATCATTTATGGGTTAATACTTTATGTGTGAATGCTAATTATTTTACTTCTTCCGTTTAAATTTGTTTACCTTAATTTGATTTGATACAAAAGGAAATTATGCCTGTTTAATCAACCAAAAAAGTCCAATAGCATCTTGTAGCCCCTACATCAACAACAACCAACCATCTTGTAAGATCTGTGTACATTCTACTCTCTTTGTACCTCTCTTGTGGTTATTAATTGATTGGGTCTAGTTTTTATCAGTAATTGTTAAAGAATGACAAAAGTCCCACATCGGTGGTTAATGATATGAGTGGACTCCTTATAAGGCTTGGGCAATCCTCCTCCCTTTGAGCTAGCTTTTGGGGTGTGAGTTAGGCCTAAGACCTAATTTAACATGGTATCAGAGCAGGGCCCGTCTCACCCGATGTTGGGGCCCCCAAAATCAAAAATTGCCCACGCACCAGATGCTAAGCAATGGGCGTGAGGTGGGGTGTTAAAGAATGACAAAAGTCTCATGTAACATCCGACAATTTGAAGTGGCTTTGTAGAAGCTTGAAATTGGAAAGTAGTCATTTTTTTTTTTGGAAAAATTTAGAATCTGGAAATTTGGTTAAGTATGGGAAGAAGTGAGTTTTTAGCCAACTTTGAGTAGTCGTAACTCCTACCTCAGGATGATTTAGGAGTAGTTCCAGTTATGGTTGCGAAGCTTGTAGAATGACCTTTTCAACGCCACTGAGTTTGCTCGATTCCGAGTTCGTATGAGGGAGTTACGCCCTTTAGAAGATGGGCAGTTGGAAGGGAAATCCGTCCGGAAATTTAAGGGCATTTTGGTCTTTTCCCAAATTCTTTCTCTTGAGGTTACATGGTGTGTTAGGCTGATTTTGGATCATTTCTTTTATCCCATTTTAAAGAGAAAGAGTTAGGGTTCTTGAGAAGAGAAGAAGAAGAGAAGAAGAGGAGAAAGAGGAGATCAACGAAATCATTGTGGATTTTCGTCGGGGGAGATCCCTATCAAGGTATGTGAGTTCTTCGTGTGGGTTGATCTTTTCCCTCACACACACCAAGTTTATTCTATGATTTGAGAAAAGATTGGGAATTGTTGTTGAAGTGTTGAAGTTGTTAGTTGTTGTTGATATTGTTGTTAAAGTTATTGTTCGTTGTGAGACATGATTGAGTTGTGCATTTAAGCTGAAACCTATTGTATGTTGAGGGAATTATGATTCTAAGAGTTATGAACCTTTTGAAGTTGATTTACCATCGATTCGCAGAAATTTCTGGGTTGACATCCCCATCTACGGGAGTGACCTACGGACCGTAGACCGATTGACGGTCCGTACTGGTCAACCGTCAATCGGAACAGAAGTTGGGTTTTTGGGGCATCGATCTACGGTCACGACCTACGGTCCGTGACCTGACCTACGGACCGTAGGTCAATACTTAGTCATTTTCCTTAAATGAATTCCGGGAAAGTTTCTGACGCGATCTACGGACCTGCAGGACGGACCGTAAGTCCATCTACGGTCCGTCGATGGCGTCCGTAAGTCCCACCTGTGTCACCAGAAATCTGAAGCCTCAGCCAAGTTTCCCCCATTCTTTCTCACTCTCTCATGCATATTCCAAAGTATTATACCTATGATTTATAGTTGTTTCCGACACTCCAAAGTACGTCCAAGCGTTCAAGAATCCCTCCATAACATGTGATCGAACATCTTGAATTCATAATTTCCGTTTTCAAAGAAAGATAGTTCCCTATTCAAGTGAAGTCAAGCTTAGAAACAAGCAAGTCCTTAAGGTTTTCCAAAAGAGCCTTCATTGAACGTTTTAACTTCATTTTAAGGCTCAAGTTCAAAGATAAGTATTGAGTTTCAAGTCATGTCATAAATACAGAGTTTAAAGTTGAGTTCTTTTCTCAAAGGTATTAGGGAACTATGTATTCCCAAGGAAGTTTTAAAGAAATGTTTTTACATCTAAATAAGGTTGGAAACTGAGATTTCCAAAAGAGCCTTCGGGCTAGTTTTTGAGTAATTATCTCATATCAGCAGGAAGAAATGTGTTTTAAAAACATAAGAGCCAGTACATTTTTGGGAGTAGTATCGAGCACCGAATTGGGGGAGAGTTCAAAGAACCCACAGCCCCCATAGAACCATGTTAGCCACCATGGGTAGAAAAGGATCATACCTTTTAGATGAATCCTTTTCAGATTAGACTATTGGATCCATTAGGCAGTTCAGGTCTTATACCTTTGGCCGGGTATAAGATGCTCTGGCAGCGTGAGGTCGATCGTTGTATATCACTATAGCTCTTATGTGATGGTTGTCGGTTAGAGAAACTCCCACAGCAGTTATTGTACTTTACACATAGAAATTATTGTATTTTTATATACATCAGTTCATTGCATTTCTATATACATTTCAGGCTTACTGTATCCTTGTATACACACAGAGTTTATAGCATGTTTTAAACAGTCTTTCTTTATATCACACTTGTTTTAAATTGCCTTATATTGAAAGAAGTCAGTCAGGTTGAGTTGAGTTGAGCCAGGTAAGCTGTTCAGTTTTCTTCCAGATTTCATTCTAGCCTTTGTTGCTTAGTTTTCCAGCTCGCATACTCGTACATTCCATGTACTGATGCCAGTTGGCCTGCATCGTTTGATGATGCAGATTCAGGTACCCCGGATCAGCATCCTGCACGTCGTTGATCCAGCTGAGCACTCCAGAGTCAGTGGTGAGCCTCCTTGCATTCCAGAGGACTCAATTATTTTGTGTTCTTAGTTAGTTTTGTTTTATTAGGATGTTGCGGGATCTGTCCCAACATCCATCTCAGTATTTTAGAGGCTTCATAGACAGATAGTCAGTCAGCTAGTTCTGAGTCTCTTATCTATGTATATATGTAAATATCCTATTTTGAGATTCGGGTTGCCTTATGGCCATATTTTATAAGTTAAGTTGTTTCGCAATATTGCATTGCTTTGGATTATTCTGTGAGCTAGGTTTCCGCTGAGTTAAGAAAGTCAGGCCAAGGGTTCGCTTGGGGCCAGAAATGGTCTCCGGGTGCCGGTTCCGCCCAGGGTGTAGGCTCGGGGCGTGACATCTCACATCGGTGGTTAATGATATGCGTGGACTCCTTATAAGGCTTGGGCAATCCTCCTCCCTTTGAGCTAGCTTTTGGGGTGTGAGTTAGGCCTAAGACCTAATTTAACAGTAATATACATTTGGCATAGAAAAAAAATTCAACAAACTTAAGAAGATTCAAGAAAAAGAGACGTGGACAAACTCATATATATGCAGATAGGCAGACAAAAAGAAAAAACAACACCAAAATATAGACGCCCTTCTAGAAATTACACTGTCCTTTGGTACTATATAGTGAAATTTTGTTTCGTTTGAAAATTTGAGGATGACTATTCTAGAGTGGTAATTTTTACAAAGTATTGCACTACATAAAAATAATTATTAGCGGTAATTAATTTTTAATTGTTGCTAAATATGTATTTTTAGCGGCAATTAGCACTCTTTGTATATGTCCTTAAAGCCTTTAGCGACATTGGTTCTAATGAGACTTAACTAATACCGGTAAAGACTTTAGCACTCTTTATTAATGTCAATATTTATTGCCGCTAAAAGTTATTTTTTTTGTAGTGTTGCTATCATGCTATATATAATGAATATCATTGTTGTTATAGGTAGAATATTGTTAAAGAGATTGAAGTAAAATATAACATAAAAAATTAATTCTAAAAAAGTTAGACCG